TTTGTTCAAACTTTAGCAAGACTGCTTTTCTGATTGTCTTGCTTTCTCAATTAAATTCAATTAAATTCAGTTCAAGGTTTATTTCGAAAAAAAAAAAGTAGAAAAGAAAATCTATTCACAAAACTACGTATCTACATAATCATACAATAAAACCATGAAAGTTCTCGTACCTATAGAGTTGTTTGTTATAAAGATTGGATGTCCTTTTAAACTACCATCTCCTTCGTATAATGTTGCGAATGACTTGATTGATATAAATTTACTTCTTTTGTTCACTCTAACGATGACACTTCGATATCGAGTTGTATTAAACAAGTACACTTGTGTTTTTAAGTGTGTGATCAAATGAGCGGGGTAACGTGGAGAAGAACAAAAATGAGTGAAGGAAGAGGGATGAGGGAGAGAGAAGTGGAGAAAAGAGGGAGAGACAGATAGAGAGAGAGAGAGGAGAGAGAGAGAGAGAGAGAGAAAGAGACAGGGAGAGAAATAGGGAGGGAGAGACAAAGAGACAGGGAGAGAGAAAGAGAGAGATCAGAGGGAAAGAGAGAGATGGAGGGAGATACGAAGAGGGAATGGAAGGAGGGAAGGGAGAGAGAGAGAGAGAGAGAGAGAGAGGGGTGGGAGAGAGAGAGAGAGAGAGAGAGAGGGGTGAGAAAGGGAGAGAGAGAGAGAGAGAGAGAGAGAGAGAGGGGGTGAGAAAGGGAGAGAGAGAGAGAGAGAAAGAGACAGGGAGAGAAAGAGGGAGGGGGAGACAAAGAGACAGGGAGAGAGAAAGAGAGAGATCAGAGGGAAAGAGAGAGATGGAGGGAGATACGAAGAGGGAATGGAAGGAGGGAAGGGAGAGAGAGAGAGAGAGAGAGAGGTGAGAGAGAGAGAGAGAGGGGAGAGGGGGAAGGGAGATACAAAGAAGGGAGAGAAAGAAAAAAATAAGAAGAATAGGAGTGAAGGAGAAGAAGAGATAGAGCGAAAATTGAGAGTGTTCATAAGCGAGAGAAAGAAAGAAGATGATGAATTAAATGACAGGACTGGCAGAGATAATGAGTGAGAGAGGAAGACAAGAAAGAGTGAGATGAATTCAAGTTAAAAATAATATAAAAGGTGACATAAAATGTACTCATCTGAATTACAAGAATTACATATGACCTTTTCTCGAGACATGATCAAGACTGTACAGTGTGTATCAACAAAAAAGTATACCCAACTTTGGTAGTTTATGATCAAAAAGTCATAATTAATATGACCTTGAAATATATGTCTTCTATATCTTCGGCCCAAACTCGTTACAAGAGGATTTTGACAATACAAGGCTGCTGGTCGGCCGTACGTGGCAGCTGAGCTATGAAGAAAAAAAATCTTTAGACAGAATATTGGTCACTCTTTAAAATTAAATATAATTCATGGTCACATAACTTATAACCCCGAAATGGGTATATGTTTTGTATACGCACTGTGTAGTAACTGAGTAAAGCCTCGGTCACAAATGCCATTACGAACTGCTACGAACGGTATGAACGATTTTCAGACAATGCAAATTCGCGAAAACAATGGAAAAACCGGGAGATGCGTACGAAATTATCGTTCGTACGAACCTTTGTGACCGTAGCATTAGATAAGACACAGGGGAAGGAAGTTTATCGATATATCGCTCACAACATCTACTGACCGCAGATATTGAAACAATCATTGGCAGATCGAGGGGACATTGGGCCACTACTCCACCCCCCCCCCCCTCCCCTCCCCCGCCACCAACAAATCCCAACCTAAATGGTAGGTAAAATGGTATGATGAGAAAGCAAATCATGCCCCCAGCTGTGACAATCGACACAATTTTGAACTAACAAAAGGCAATGAAAATTAATAATTGAGGAGTGTGCTAGTCAAACAGTTTCGGAACTATTGCCCCTCTCCCCTGGACAGAGAATAAAGGATCCGCCACTTAGAACAATAAGGGAGTTTACAGATACAATCTGCGCATGGGCAGATAAAGGTCATTTGTACCAAAAAGGTAAAACCCAAAGAGAAGAATACTGGATATGCGCTCATGAAAGTTATGTAACCCCCCCCCCCCCCCCCCCTCTATATAGCCAGGAGCAGAAGGAGAGGAGCCTTACAAATTAACAGTAGAACATCGTGAAAGAGGCTAGACAACAAGGCGTTGTGGCGTGCGCCTGTAATCCAGCTAACAGTGGAAGTTACAAACTGATTCAGCCGAGGACGCAGGTTCGAAACTGTCTCACGTCTTTCGGATGGTGACGTTCAAAGTCGGTCCCCAGACGTAAATAATCATATCTGATTGATACACGTCTGTAAAAACCTAATTACACACACACAGCAGGTCTGTCAGTCCAGATCTCTTTTAATCTTTTCTGTGCCATCATTCTGTTTACTCTACCTCTCTCTCTCTTTTAAAATAAAAGTTAGGTTTGAAATGTATAATTTTGACTTTTTGTGCCTATTTCATTCTTTAATTGGGCCATGTCCCATTTGCAGGCCAACAAAATAAAAAGGTTAAATTCCAATGGCATTTGAAAGGTAATAGTAATTTAGAACTCCCCTAAAAAAGGTGGGGCTTGAAAATGTCTTCAAGTGGGAAAATAACGACTATTAGTTGTCAAATCGACTTAGGAGCTATAGAGCCAATAAGTAATAGTCTTGACTTTCAGACCATTGCACCGAATGGTCATACGTTTTATACTGCGCAAAGATTCAATCAGTTTAATTTTGGCCATCACAAGAAGTGGGTTATTGATGTAGACAAAATAATGTTCATGTACACTTTTCAGCTCATTTTATGTATGTTATTACCAAAGAAGAAAAGAGGCCAGTCAGTCACTCAGTAGTGTATGACAGTGAAGTCTACTAAGTAAACGGGTTTCCTTGCATAATTTGAATATTAGGACACTGCTCACGTTTAAATTTCACAGATACAAAAAATGTAGGACATACATGGCATATTTTTATAACTCCTGCAAAGCTCTACAGAATTTGAGGTTGGCTGCAAAAGAGACATAGTATCTTTAATTGGGCATGAGAGTAGGGCCTACCTATTGTGAAACATTACTGTGCATTTAATTTTTTAAGGCTGACGCACGCGACAGAGTACCAGCATTTTATTTCAAGGACAGTCATGCACTTCGAAGGGATTAAAACATGTTCGAAGGCCCCACCCCCTCTTCCTTCGGTAAGATTAAAGGGGACATGATGCTTACTTCAGACACCCCCCCCCCACACACACACACACACACACACACACGCTTAATTTCCATTTTCATTTCATTCAGTTCGTTCGTACAAAAGCAATACAAATAATTCTTCAAAATATAAATTATTTTGTTTCATCATAATAACATAACTAAAATAACTTGATACTCGTACAATATTTTTTATTAATCCCCATCAAGATTTTTTTTTTTAATGAAATCAGTTATAATATAAAACCAATCATGACATTACTACCTTAGTGCCCCCAAACAAAACCCACTCCTATCTGCAACTCATTCATTCTCACACGTGCACATGCACACTCACGCACACACACATACAACGTGTATAATGCTTACGGGCAACCATTTGAATACACTCAAACCACTTCATAATTATTTGCTATGTATTGCAAAATAAATTATGAAAACAAATCCTTAAAATGCAAACAAAACCCACTCCTATCTGCAACTCACTCGTACAAAAGCAATACAAATAATTCTTCAAAATATAAATTATTTTGTTTCATCATAATAACATAACTAAAATAACTTGATACTCGTACAATATTTTTTATTAATCCCCATCAAGATTTTTTTTTTTAATGAAATCAGTTATAATATAAAACCAATCATGACATTACTACCTTAGTGCCCCCAAACAAAACCCACTCCTATCTGCAACTCATTCATTCTCACACGTGCACATGCACACTCACGCACACACACATACAACGTTTATAATGCTTACGGGCAACCATTTGAATACACTCAAACCACTTCATAATTATTTGCTATGTATTGCAAAATAAATTATGAAAACAAATCCTTAAAATGCAAACAAAACCCACTCCTATCTGCAACTCACTCATTTTCACAAGTACACACGCACGCAAACGTCCTCGCACCACCCACACAGTGTACCACATCCATACTTACGGGCCACCATTTGAACACACTCGGAACCTTACTTCAGAATTAACTGCTATGTATAAAAATTACAAGAAATCATTTTAAAAAACTCCTTTCAATGTTAACACACCCTACAACACTCAACTTTACCTTCGATACAGGCGGAAATAAAATCAATACTCTAATAAACATCTTCTTTCGTTTTCATTGAGTCATATTATTTCATTGTTTCATCTCCTTGGTTTGTCGGGTTACGCACGGGAAATAACCAACCACTTTCGGTTCCGCAACGTTGCATCAGAAAAGTGTAATTTCCCGATATAACCATAGCATAATATAATATTATCTCCATTTAACGCTAATTGCCTTTTCAACTGCATAAAAGATTTGACCTTGTGTTTTGAGATCCAACTATAACACGTACGTCGTTATTCGGAAGGGGAAAAGGGGGGGCTACTTAAAAAGGGGGCTCGAAGGCTTTAATGCGTTCGCTTTGGCAACACATTTTATTAAAATTTGAACGATACAGAACAAATAAACTTGGCCCCTATTTAAAAGATATCACTCAATCTTCTCTCCTGAAGAAGAAAAAATATATGAAATTGGAAACCCTGTTGTGGGTGTGGCTTGTGTGACGTACCCTCTCCCATATTAGGGAGTAACGGGGATTATGCATATTCATATCGATCATGATTATGCATGGCATTGCTATGAGCTGGGTATATGAAATTGAAAACCCTGTTGTGGGTGTGGCTTGTCTGACGTACCCTCTCCCATATTAGGGAGTAACGGGGATTATGCATATTCATATCGATCATAATTATGCATGATATTGCTATGAGCTGGGTGAAGCTCTTACACTCTTACTTTGACAGTTGGTGCTGTTAATGTCACTTCGTCTCTCTTGGCGTCAACTTGTACGAATCTAACCGGGAACTTTTCTAGGTGAATTTTATAATGGCGCCAATTATTCTAGCAATGATTTTACTCGGTATTGCGGCTAAAGTGAACGGTAAGTAGTTCAATTACGTTTGTATTTTACCAGTAACACAAATAAGTGCGTCTAATTGAGGCCTACTCTGGCAAAAAATATTGAGTTCATATTTTTTAAATAGTAAAAGGCTAATTGTTGTAAGCAATAATAGCTCTTTGTCCTGTTCGAATATAATCATTAAACACTCAATTTATTTTAGGAGCACTAAAACAAGAAGTCCCATAGCGCTTCGAAATTACAGCATGTGAAGAGAATTATAAAATACACAGAGTCATTAAAAAAAATAGGTGAATCGCAGTAACTTACTGACGGGATAAGTATATGTTTTGAGGGGTATTTTGAAAGAGGAAAGACAGATTAATTCTCTGACTTAACCCATCAATTGACTACTGAATTGTATAGGTCCTATAGGCTTTAACACAGAGACCACCGCGTTCTCGTAAGCAAAGGGTTAAAGAGGTTTACTGTTCCATGTTCTCGAAGCAGCCACTGTTAATGGTTTTTCGATAGATGATAGTCTGGATTTGAGAATAATTAGTTTATATTTGTTAGTTGTATTCTCTCCTGAATATTATTTAAAACTTTATATGCGCAATGTGCACTTTATAAATGTTACATATAAAGATTGTTGATGGTTCTGTTTATTACCCACATACTTTGTTTTTTAATTCCAGTCGTTGCTAAGATTATTTTTGAAATATGAATGTGTTAGCAAAGAAAAAAATACTAAGCTGGAAAAATTGTTGAATATGCTTACATTTTTAGCCTATGTTATGTTTCACTTAATCATTGAGTGATTAATGTAAATATGTATTGAAATTATGGAAATAAAAACCTCGCTTAAGGATAAGAGAAAGAAAATAAAGAAGAAAAAGAAAAATATTTGTTAGTTGTTGAGCGAAGCTTACAAGATAAGCCCCCTCAAAAAAGTTTGGAAACTCAATTTTATTGATCATATCTATCTTGATACGGCATAATCATCGCTATGTTTAGTGTCATTGAAAAGTGTGTTTATTCTTATCAAAATAATACCCCATTTGTTATGATTTTTCAATCATGGAATGTGCATAAAAGATACTATGTCCTTTTTGCAGCTAACATCAAATTCTGTAGAACTTTGCAGGAATTATGAATATGTCATGTATGTCCAATCTGTGAATTTTAAACGTTAGCAGTGTCCTAATATTCAAATTATGCAAGGAAACCTGTTTACTTGCTAGGCTTCACTGTCAGACACTATCGAAAGAATGATTGACTGGCCTTTTTTTCTTTGATATTAACATACATAAAATGAGCTGTAAAGGGTACATGAGCATTTGGCTACATCAATAACCCACTTCTTGTAATGGCCAAAATTAAACTGATTGAATCTTTGCGCAGCATAAAACGTACGACCATTCGGTACAATGGTCTAAAAAAATCAGACCATTACTTACTGGCTTTATAGCTTTTAAGTCGATTTGACAACTAATAGTCATTATTTTCCCCACTTAAAGACATTTTCACCCCCCCCCCCCTCCCCCGTTTTCTTTTTTAAGGGAAGTTCTAAATTAGTATTATCTTTCAAATGCCGTTGGAATTTAACCTTCTTTTTTTTTATTTGTTTGGCCTGCAAATAGGACATAGTACCTTTAAATCAAAAGTGAAAAAGTGAAAAATTGCAAAATGCACTGCTTTTGTTCGGCTGTGCATTTTGTTTTTATTGAAGATTGCGGGCTATGATGTGCAGTGTACTGTATAATAATTATATCAGTGCTTACCAGTGCTTTCCTATGCATTTTGCAACTTTTGGTAACATCGCGTATTAGTCAAAACATATTCTTTCACATGATTGGTAATAAGAGCTTCCATTTCATTTTTTTTTTTTTTTTTTTTTTTTTTTGGGGGGGGGGGTGTTTGTTTTCTTCTTCTTCTTCTTTTTAAAACAATAGAGAAGTTTTCTACATAAAAATGATCTTCCTTTCCCACTTCCCCTTTCCCCTCTCTTCCCTCTCCCGACACCCAACAGCTCGGCCATACAACCAGGACAACGAGATCGGCAGCGTGGACAATAACTTTGAAATCGAGTACCGGCTCGCCGCCGTTATGCATGCGCTGGTTGACACTTGCGCCAACAGAGCCGAGAACAGCGCCCCAGACGTCGAGCAGCTTTTCGACGTCGTCTGCCTGGTTTTGAACGGGGAAGGATCGGGCGAAGGCCCAGTGGAATTAGGCACTGGGGAGGGCTTTAGAGAGCTAGGCTCGGGAGAGTTTCCCGAGGAGCAGAGCCCCAGGTGGATCTACAACTTTGATCCCATAGGTAAATATGATGTAGAATTAGGGTACGACGTTAACCATACAGTTCTGCATGAACTCAGTGAGGCCCTTATTACGCCCCCGCCCCCCCCCCCCCCCACTCACAGGTCGGAATGACCGCATGCGTGTTGCCAAAATGTCCGGTAAAGGGGTACTTTTCGTGCGACAAAGTCCGGCCCTATTTGAATTTTCACCCGAAGATTTCGGGGGTGTTTTTCTTTTGTTCTCTCATCTCTTTGGACTCCTGAGAAAATATTCCGAATTTAGGGGGGTACATTGAGCATTTTTCCTGATTTAGGGGGGTCTCCAAGGCGGGAAAAGCCCGTGAAAAGCCCGCGAAAGGGGGGTTCGGAAATGTTGGCAGTCCTCAGATAGGGGGTGCTTTCAAAAAGAGGGTACGAGCATATGCGTACCCTAAATAACACTGAGTGGGGGGGGGGCGGGATTACGCCCTTATGTTGAGAACCTTGAGGTAGCCCGTAGCTGGGGGGTGTTTCACAAAGATCCTAAGTCGAACTTATCTTTAAGTTGGACTTGAAAATTATGGCAAGCTGTCAGCATCTTCGAAAATATTAATAAAGGCATTAAATGTTGATTCAAATCATTCATATTTTCTATTATCAAGGAGATTTCATGTGCTTGATGTGGAATTTGTGAAAAGTCTAAAATACTTGAATTTTTGCTTCTAAAAATATCTAATTTGAAGGCTACACATGGCTCTCCATAATATTTAAGTCCAACTTAGAGTTAAATTCGACTTAGGATCTTTGTGAAACACCCCTGATGCAACAGAACCAGCTATCCCTTTGAGACTCAAACCATTATCTGGAGCTAAATCCAAGTTTCATTCCAAAAGGAGCTAACTGATCCACAAAATCTAAAAATTTGATAAAATCAGAAATAACTGGTAGATTTTTTTTTCTTATCATATATTATTGGGCCAGGGAGACACCTTTAACATAATAACAACATGAAGGTATAATTATGGCTAAAGGGAAAAAGTGGAGAAATAAAAAAGGTGATTTAGTCAGAAGTACCCAAAGTGGATTTAGCTCCTTTTGGAATGAAACATGATATTGTACCTAAAAAAAAATCATACTTCCTGGTAAAATTTTAGTATGTGATATGCATTATGTCCCTATGTAGGAAATCATTATTTTAAGACAAAAAAGGTCAATTTTGATGAAATATGGATTTACCTCCTTTTTGGAATCAAGCTCTTCATTTTATGAGTGTGATATTTTTGTGATCTAAGTTTTAACACATTTCTTTAAGGCTAGCCGAATATTTCGTAAAATTAGCAGTTTTTCCCGAAATAAGCAACTTTTTATAACAAGAGATGATTAAAAATAAAATCACCGTTAAAATATTAGCCTTCGTTGAATCGAATTATCCATAGCTTGTATTTGATAGAGCAAAACTTCGACCTCTTTTAAATTATGAAGATTTTTCCAAATCGATAAAACATCCAATAAATATGCACCTAATTGCACGATTACATACATCAAAAATGCACATAGCTCTCACCGTGAGAGGGGGAACCGCAAACTTAACATATTTTCCCCAAAAACTATATATAAGCGACTTTTAAAAACAAGAGATAAGTAATTCGCTCTTGAATAAGAACCTGTAAGAAGAAAACGAAGAAGGAGAAGAACTTGAGGAGAAGAAGGAGTAGAAGAAAAAAAGGAAGAAGAAGAAGAAGAAGACGAAGAAGAAGACGACGAAGAAGAAGAAGAAGAAGACGAAGAAGAAGAAGAAGAAGAAGAAGAAGAAGAAGAAGAAGAAGAAGAAAAAGAAGAAGAAGACGAAGAAGAAGAAGAAGAAGAAGAAGAAGAAGAAGAAGAAGAAAGAGAAGAAGAAAAAGAAAACAAAGAAGAAGAAGACGAAGAATTAGAAAAATCAGAAGAAGTAAAAGAATATATATTATAAGCATGTTGTTCATGTTAATTACTTAATATTTACCAGGGGTAACCACATAAGTATTAATATTTCTTTTCCTTCGGGCCCCGCAATTATTAATACCCCATCATTACTGGGCACCTGGGTCGCGAGAGATAAATGTAGGCAAAACCTCTAAGAATATCTAAGAATATTAATTGTAATCCTAAAAACCGAGCAAAGATCGAAACCTTCCGGGACCTTCCGAATCAGCGTCAAAAGCTTAGGCATGTGACCCGGATGCGCATATATTTTTTACACAACTGTTTAGGCATTTTTTTTCGGGAAAATTCCAAGAAGTGCTCTGGTGAAAGAGTCTAAGTCGTCAGCGAACTATTATGTGCAAGCACGTACACCCAGGGAAGGGAAGATGATAGAAAGGGGAAAATAAGGATAGTGGAGAGGATATGGAGAAGGAAAAACAAGGAAATACATAAGGAAAGAGAAGAGGATAAGTCAAAGGAAGAACATAGAAATACATACTTGAAGAGCTAAGAGGATCATCATCTAGACTAAGGGAAAAAAAAGGAAAATACATAAAGAAGGAGAAAGGGATCATCTATCGGATTAAAACAAAGAAATAGATGACGAAGGAGAAAAGGATAGATTGAAGGAGAACACAGAAATACATAATGAAAGAGAAGAGAGGATAAATTTAACCCGAAACAAATAACGAGTATGTACAGCTCCAGCAATCCAACAAAACTGCTAAGGGTAATTAATGCTAGACTCGTTCTCTAGTCGTTTGCACAGTATATTTGACTGAAGTGGCAAAACAGTTGTGTAAAAGAAATATGCGCGCACCGATATCAGCTTCTAATCGATTACCTCATCCTTCAAATGTATCTTGCTAGTAGTTCACCACACCATCATTTTATTCATTATCTTTTGTTTTATCTTACTTCCGGTGTAGTCAAAACAGTCACATCCGACAGGATTTTCCAGCAAACCCTGAGTATGATCGTGGAGGGCGCCTGCCAAGCTGCTGTGGGTAGCGGATATGTGGCCAGTGATATTGAATCATTCTGTCGCAACAATCGACGGAGTAGCGATGCGAGTGTTGGGGACGAAATTGGGAGCGGAGATGGTTTCAGCAGTAGTGTTGACGTCGATAATGATGCCGTCAACAAAAATGATCTCGGTGGATTTTCAATATCTTGGGACTCTGGCAACAACGACTGGCTTGATGATGATCCATTCTTTTTTGCAAACCTTGGGGGATATTAAATTCACAAAGGGGAAAAGTATTTTCACAAAGGGACAAAGAGGTAAAAACAAATATTGTGGGATGCTTATATACTTTTTAACACTATAATTAGCTACCTAAGTTACAGGTCGGTAACAAAAAGGAGCTACATGTATGTTCATTCAGTCAACTAGAGCTTGGTTTATTTTTCAAAATGAATTCTTAAAGGTATTACAAAGTTTTGGGAAATTTTGAAAAATGGGTGGATAGTGATTCTTTACAATTTTAATATATTTGGATGCCCCTGTGGATGTTTTAAAAACATCATAAATTTTAGCCCCTAAAACACTTCTTTTTTCGAGACAAATTGAATATGAAGATCTACCGGTGCTCCCGGTAAATTTTGATGAATTTCAAATAGCTCCTACGGCCGTTCAATGGTAGCTGCGACCATGAAAATCTCAGAGTATGTAGTTGTGGTATATAATTTCCGAACGAGAATAGCTAATCAGTCAATTTTAGTCAATAAACATTGTTTTATAGCTTAACTGATATATTGACCTTGAGAGGGAGCTATTCAACATAAAGTGTTTATTATTTACAATTTCATAACTTTAGAGTCGATTTCGACCGCGACAACGATCACTGAATATTGTAGGATCGTATATGCTTCCAATATGTTCATTAAACTACATAAACTACACTATGGGTTTTCACTTTTTAAGATGAGCGTGAAGCTTCCCTTTACGTACAGCAATAGTTTGTTTAATTTTCTCAAGGTAAAGCATATCTGCCTGAAAAAGACTGAAAATCAACTTTTTATTAACATTTTTGTTTGTCTGAATAAAGTATTTACCATAAAATATAACTGTGTTCACAAAAATTGTTGCCTGGTTGTAGAGTTACGCTAATACAGATATCTGTTTAGAAAATTCGATTTGTAAGCAACAAGAGCGGTCGGCCTATTTTGAATGAATTATTCGTGATAAAGGTTCCGATTTTGGTATACTAAAGCATAAACGATGGTGTATAGGTTTTTGCAAGTTAGCCTAACGTTCCAACTTTTATCATTTGAGAGAGTTTTAAAGGGAAAGTCCACCCCCAAAATAAGTTTGTTTCGATAGAGGCAGAATAATAAGAAAATCAGGTGAGTGAAAGTTTGAGCAACTTCTGAATGAAAATAAGAAAGTTATGAATTATTGAAGTTGTGATCTCCTTCATTTGCTTTGTGCATAATATTCCATAAAATCATGTTTTCTTCGTTATTGATGACGGAATATATATTTGTTCCTTGCAGGGGGAGTATAGAAACATATTTGTAATTATTATATTTAGGGTGCATGTATGGTTGAAATTTTTCTTGAGGGAAAATGAAAATTTTAGATTTTTTTAGTACTGAGCAAATGGAAGTTGAGCTCGCATGATACGTCATAGAGTTGCCAATTTGTGTTTGATTGATCACAACTTCAAAAATACTAACTTCCTTATTTTTAATCGGAATTTGCTCAAACTTTCACTGACTTGTTTCTCTCATTTTTCTACTCCTATTAAAACTAACTTAATTTCAGGGTGGACTTTCCCTTTAAATGTGTAAACGTTTTTGGTCTCTCTCTCTCTCTCTCTCTCTATCTATATATTTTATTTTTCTTTCTCGTTCATTCCCAGTTCTAAATCGTAAACCAAGTCCAAACTCAATGTCAAGTACACTGCCTTAAGTGCTACCAGTACAAACGTTTGTATTGGTTCAAGTTTAAACGTCCTTGTTTTCACGAAGTGACGGAAAGTTCCAATTTAAAGTGGTCTAGGAGATCGGTTAGTGACGGCACTCGACCGTGGAGCAATAAAAAAAAATGTCGCCGGAAGTAGGTCGGGTCATACATGTACATACCCGGGAAATAGACCATTTTCGTAATGTCAAATCTAATGCATACGTCTTCGTGAAGGGCCTCGGTACGAATTATTTCCCTCATCTGTTACGAATAATTGTATTGCGAACTGCATACATTAATTACTTTCAAGTTCAAGTTCAAGTTTATTCAAACCAATCAAACACAACATTTTACAATCAATTGACACAAAAGAAATAAAAAACATGATAGGTTTGGGACCCCGGAGAAGCAGAGCTTGTGATAAGGGGCCCCTTAAAAGGTACATAAACAAAAACAAAATAACAGTATTTAGAATAACCGATGACAAAAACATATTTACAATGATAACTAATGAGTAAATATGGGAACAGAAAAAAAGATAACACACATACACATACACACCCACGCACACACACAGACACACCCACATACACACATACACACATGGCTTTCCAGGATTTACTTTAACATATTTTGTAATCTCTCAAAAAGATATTCTCGACATGTATGTTTAAACATAGGTAGTGTTGGACTGGATCTGATGTTTTGTGGCAACTTATTCCATTCTTTGATACAATTAATTACAAAAGAGTTCGAAGCAGTTTGTGTTCTCGCAAACGGCTGATGGATAAGATTTCTCTGACGTGTGTTGTACGAATGGACAGTCGAATTAACAATAAACGCATCTTTTAAAAATGAATTATTTTGAGCAGATTGAGATTTGTACATGAATATCAAACAATTCATGGAGACTAATTCATCAAGAGGCAACATCTGAAGTTGCACAAATAAAGGATTACTTGGACTTCTGTAATTTGAATTTGTAATGAGCCTGATAGCTTTCTTCTGAAGGACTATTAACTTGTTTATATGGCTCCTATACGTATTTCCCCATGCAACATTACAATAAGTTAAGTGAGGCATAATGATAGCATTATAAAGAGTTACTAAAGTTTGCTCTGGTAAAAAAAAGCGTAACTTAAAAATCACACCAACACTCCTCGAGACCTTGGTACAAACATTGCTGAGGTGATCTTTCCAAGTTAAATGATCATCAACTGTAACTCCAAGAAACCTTACATTTTGACTCCGGTTGATCAGATGACCACCTATTGTCAGGGGGTCAATATTATCTGGGATTCTTTTGCCCCTTGATCTAAAAACAACATATTGAGTCTTACTAGCATTTAACAAAAGTTTGTTGCAACAAAACCACTTAAATATATTGTGAACTTCATTATTTGCAGACAAAATCAGATTATGCATGTCTTTGTGGTGAGAGAGCAAGCAAGTATCATCAGCAAAAAGTGAATAAGTAAACAACTGAGATGAGTTTATAATATCATTAATATAAATCAAGAACAATAAGGGGCCCAGGACTGAGCCTTGGGGTACGCCATATTTTACCTTCCTAGATTGTGATTTAACTCCATTAACCACTACATACTGTAATCGATTATGTAAGTAATTTTTAAACCATTTCAAAGCTATCCCACGAATGCCATAATGCTCAAGCTTGCTTAATAATATATCATGATCAATAGTGTCGAATGCTTTCGATAAATCCAAAAACACACCAAGACAAAACTTCCCAGCATCAATTGCATTTATAATAGTGTTTACCGAATTCAAGACACCCATACTTGTAGAGCAATTCTTTCGAAAGCCAAATTGTTGTGGGATCAGAATATCATGAAGTCGAAGGAAGTCATCCAACCTTTTATACACTATTTTCTCTAGAATTTTTGAAAATATGGGTAACAAAGCAATTAGTCTATAATTCTCAATGTTCTTACGATCATTCTTCTTGAATACAGGGATTACTTTAGCTATTTTCAATTTGTTTGGGACAATACCCTGAAACAAGGACTTATTAAAAATATCACACAAGGGTTCAACAATGCATTGAATACAAGTTTTAATGACTTTTGGGGAAATGTCGTCAGAACCGCATGCCTTGGATGGTTTTAGAGTTAAAACAAAGTTAGAAATTTCATGAACAGACGTTGGTCTAAAGTACAAGGACGAGGAGTGATTCTGCACTGACAAAAATTGTTTGTATGATGTTTGGACAGGAGGAATTTCCTTGTTTATTTTAGAGGGCAAATCAATGAAATATTCATTAAAATATTTTGCTTTTTGTAAGTCTGATTTTAACAGTAAATCATTATGATACATATCATTTGGAAGTGGCGTCTTCTTCCCCCTCCCAAGCAAACCATTAATATGAGACCAAGTCTTTCTAATATCATTCTGAGTAGTTCGAAAAACATTATCATAATAATCCTTCTTACTTTGACGAACAAGGTTTGTCAACAAGTTTTTATAGTCAACATAACTTTTCCGATTAATCTCATTTTGGTTCTTAATATATGTATGATAAAGCTTATGTTTCTGATTAATAGATTTCAGAAGACTTGGAGTAATCTTCTTCACACTCAATTCAACTAAAGGGAAATGTAAATTATATAAGTTGGAAAAAATATCACTAAAATAGTCATAAGAAACATTTGCATCAAACAAGCTATATAAACTAGACCAATCAACTTGAAGAAGATCGCGTTGGAAATTATTCATTCTTTCATCAGTAATCACACGTCTAAATAATTTATTGTGTACCTTTCCTGTAGTGACTGCATTGCCTTTGTTAATGCTACAAATTGGCATGTGATCAGAGAAATCAGAACAGAATATTCCAGAATAGAAATGGTCTTGAACACAGTTTGTAAATATATTATCGATTAAGGTTGCTGAAGATGACGTGATACGAGTCGGTTTAGTGATTAGGGAAAGCAACCCAAACGAAAACATAAAGTCAACAAAATCTTTTACCTTTTCATCTACATCAACATTTAACAAATTGATATTAAAGTCACCCATAATATAAATGTCATTCCTTTCTTTACTCAGTATTTGCATTTCATGATCAAAGCCATCAATAAATGATCTAATGTCATTACCAGGTGCTCTATAAATGCATCCGACAATCGACTTTTTGTTTGCAATACTAATTTCTAAAAATACACATTCATAATAAGCATTAGCCATAGATCATTACGTATCTTGTAATCAAGCCCGTCTCGGACATAACATGCTACTCCACCACCTTTCTTATTTGATCGACAGACTTGAACAAATGAATATCCTGGAATATCAAACATAGCTACATCTGTAGATGGTTTGAACCAGGTTTCTGAAATACCAATAACAGAGAAATTATGTTCTATACAGGATAGTAATACTACCAGATCATCAAAGTTTTTAAAAAGACTTCTGGAGTTAATATGCATCAGAGAAAGTTTTTTATCGCCATTAAACTGGAAATCGCTGCAGTTGATATAGCTACACTCATTAACAACAGC